GAGGAGAGAGAGAGAGAGAGAGAGAGAGAGAGAGAGAGAGAGAGAGAGGGGGGAGAGAGAGAGAGAGAGAGAGAGAGAGAGAGAGAGAGAGAGAGAGAGAGAGAATTTTTATTATTTATTTTTTAGTTCTCGGCGGACACAACATCTTTGTTGGTATGTGGTGCTGAGGATCGAACCCGGGCCGCACGCATGCCAGGCGAGCGCGCTACCGCTTGAGCCACATCCCCAGCCCAATACCACTAAAGTTTTTTATAAATTAAAAAAAAATTGGCATCACAGCTTGAAAATAAGTTCTCTAGTCCATTTTATTAAGTTCGTCACTGTCCCTAAGTTTCAAATTTATAGAAATTCTGGCGTGTGTACTGCTTCTCTCTCAAGGACACAGGAATGGAGGTGGGTTAATAGGCAGGGCCCTGTGTTCTTGTGACACCTCATTAACACCTTGTTATGAAGAGTCATCTCTTGACCTTGATTTTTTTTTTTCCAGAATAGTGATTTATGTCCACATATGCTGTCCAGAAGCCGACATTTATCTGACATGTTTTACTAAGGATACCAGATGTTCCTGCTGTAAGTTTTAGGTATCACACCCTCTGACAACAGAACATCTAGAGAAAAACAGATCTTCAAGGCAATGTACACAGAGACTTAGTGTGCATCTATGAATTAAATTTATTTTCAGAGTCAGCATACAGTTGTCAATCACCCAACTCTACCTCCAAAGTTCCAAGTACCATTAATTTATTCATATACCTTTCCTCCCTCCCCCTACCCCAACCCAGGAGTCATTAAAACTTGGGTTTTTACTGTGTATGTATCTAAGTCAGCCTTCCTTGTGTCTGCCCAGGCTAAGGTAATTAGTCATTAGCATTTATGTGCTGCTAATTACCGCTAGTGAGAAGTGCCTGGGAACCGCCAACACTGAGCGCTACAGCAATTTGTTTTGTGGGTTGGAGAGGTGGTTTGATTCCATTTCCTATTATATGTTCAGTGTAGACTACTCTAAGCCGTGTTGTAGATTTGAAGTGGCATTTAACTTTCAGTAGAAGATATTCTTCCTCCAACTTGGACATCTTTGTGCTAAAACAGCCCACTTGTCAAAACTCTTCGCTGTTGTGGTGACAGATGTGACATGATACAGAGCTAGGTAGAAAGCTGGCATCTGACATCTTTTCGTTGACGGGCACACGTGTCAGTGTTCCGTACACTGCAGACACTCCCCCTCACAATCTGGATAAACTCTTCTCTTTGAATCCCTACTGTATCAATTTGGAACAGATGGGTTGCTGCTTCTCTGATGTGTTATGACAAGCAGCAGCAACTACTAATCATAGCACCAACAACTGTTAGTGTCTGTGCTGTTCTTTTCCTCCGTCACCCATTCATTGTTCTGCTACAGAACAAAGAATTTAAGAGAAGGAGAGAAAGAGAGAGGTGATAGTCCCCTGGGAGAATGAGAGAACCTTTGGCCCTATAAGGATTTTCTCTCCTTTCTTCCTGCTTTGAGATCTGGGTCTACATGGTGCCATTCATGTTCTGAATTCCAGAATTTTCCTAGGCCTGACCTTCAAACCCACTACCTGAGCCACGTTTAAGGAGGTACACAGAGAGAAAAGGACTGAATAGACCTAATGTCTCATTGGTCCAATTGGTCTTTAATATTTTTCATCCTTCTCACATGGACCAATGGTCAGTACCTTTTCTCTATGCACATGATGCCACCCAAATGCTCTGAAAATTATTTTGTGGGGAAGGTTCCGGGAATTGAACCAGGAGCATTCTACCTCTGCCACACCCCCACTTTATTTTATTGGTCCTGGGGATTGAATCCAGAGGTGCTTTACCACCCCAGTTCTTTTTATTTTTCTTTTTTTTCCCTTATTTTATATTTATGTGGTGCTGAGGATTGAACCCAGTGCTTCATGCATGCTAGGTGAGCACTCGATCACTGAGCCACAATCCCAGCCCTATTTTTTTTTTTTTTTTGAGACAGGGTCTCACTAGGTTTCCAAGATGGGCCTGGAACTTGCCATCCTCCTGCCTCAGCCTCCCAGGTCACTGGGAGTACAGGCATGTGCCACCACACCCAGCTGCAAATGCATTTTAACCTGCTTTTATTTATGCAAAAACATCAGGAGATAGACTAGAGAAGATGTCTCTTATGAATTACTCCATAACCCCCACCTCCTGTGGCTAACCTGGGTCATGCATGCCGTGCAGGCGCCCTGGCACCTGAGATCAAGCATATCAAATTGTCTGAGAGTTTCAGCCTCTGATTGGGCAGTGGAAGATGGTTTCAGGAACCAGGGTGTCAGAAAATGGGACCAAAGTTAGCTTAGAAAGTCCCAGTGAACTTCCAAAAGAAACACTCCCTTTGCTTCTCACAGAGTTCACTTTCATAACGTGGGGCCTCCTTCACACCCAGGCTCACTGTGGCCGTGCAGGGCGCTGTCTAGGTTTGTTTGCTTTTGAAAGAGAGTATAAAATTACTTCATTTCTTTAGTGACAGACTCCTTCCAAGCTGGCTGATATATACTGAATTCACTGAGTGTGAAATGGGCCTCTGTGGGTCAATAGGGGGAAAGGAAAACCAGAGTGATTTATGGCCCAGAAAGTTCCATGCTCACCGATAATGAAGTGGAAGGAGAAAGTTCCACATCCAGAGGGAGAACTGTCTAATGACGAGGTTGGGTGAAACAAAGGCCATGACATTATCTTCCTGATTAACGTCTCTGACTCCTGGAATGTGGAAACTGCATCCTGGCCAAAGATGCAAAATATGAGTGGTGTAGTTAGTGGTGTGGAATACGGAACCAAACATTCATACCACATCTGGTTCTGTCACCTGCTGTGTGGCCTTGGAAAAATTACTTAAATTTGGCTTCCTCCATCTATAAAGGGGGATAGCAATGGCAGCCATTTGACAGGGTTAGTGTGAGGATCAAATGGGATATTGTGTGCAGCTCATAGGCACAACCTATCAGTAAGTCTCCAGCGTGCCAGCTTTGGGAACTCTCTAGGGCAAAGTGACATGAAAGAAGGAAGAATAGGCAACTACAAGCGGTAAGTCACATTTCTAGAGTTCTTACTCTGTCAATCACTTCATATCATGCCATTTAGTCTTTACAAGGAGTAACAGAAGATTTAGATGAAAATTAACTTAGACCCAATCACACAGATATGAGTGGTACAGCTAGCATTTTAAACCTAATTTTGAACCCAATGTTTGTTTGTTTTTGCTACTGGAGATTGAACCCAGGGGCACTTAACCACTGAGCCACATCCCTAGCCCTTTTTATATTTTATTTAGAGACAGGGTCTGGCTAAGTTGCTTAGGGCCTTGCTAAGTTGCTGAGGCTGGTCTCGAACTTGTGATTCTCCTTCCTCAGCCTTCCAAGCTGCTGGGATTACTGGTGTTCACCACTGTGCCTGGCTTGAACACAGTGTTCTTAAGCACCATTTGTTTTATTGTCTTCAAGCGCATGACTCAACAGTGACCAATATTTCACAGCGAATGCCACATCTCTAGTTGCCAAAAGAAAACTTAAGAGTGCTGTGCTATGGAGTCCAAGCTTTGCCATTGATGCTTTCTAACTCACGGGACTTATTTGTTGTAAGGCACTAATTGTGAAAAGGAAAATTTCCTTAGATTAAATGAGAATTTACACCCAAAGCACAGATGATCAAGTCAGAGGGGAGCCCAAATAAAGAAAATAACACATTGTATGCTAAATGCTTGGAACAGTGTCTGACACGGGTTAAATGCTGCACAAATGAAAAATATCATTTAATTAACAGAGAAGAGTATGAGGAAGAGACAGTAAAGGAAGAAAGGAGAAAGACTCATGTATGATCATGGGTCCTACTTCCAAGATTTTTCCCTCATTGCGTGTTATGGTGATAACCTATAATTCCAGCGGTGGGGGAGATCAAGACAGGAGAATTCTAAGTTTGAGGCCAGCCTGAGCACCTTAAGGAAAACCCATCTCAAAATAAAAAGTACAAAGGGCTGGGATGTAGCTCAATGATCAAGTGCCCCTGAGTTTTCTGTTTAACAGAAAGCAATTAAGAAGGAAAGAGCCAGGCAGAGTGATACATACATGTAATCCCAGTAGCTTTGGAGGCCGAGGCAGGAGGACTACAAGTTTGGGGTGAGCCTCAGTAACTTAGTGAGGCCCTAAGCAACTCAATGAGATCCTGTCTCAAAAAAAAAAAAAAAATAGAAAGGACTGGGAATGTGGCTCAGTGGTTAATTGCCCCTGGGTTCAATCCCCAGTACTGAAAAAAAAAAAAAATAGAAAAAAGAAAAAAGGAGGCAGGAGCTCAAAGAGGGAAGGAGGTCCCACAATGTCTCCATCTACAGTCCCAGCTACTTGGGAGGCTGAGGCAGGAGGATCACTTTTCCCAGGAATTCTAAACCAGGACCACATAGCTAGATCCTGTCCAAAAAAAAAAAAGAACAAAAATAAACAAATAAAAAGGGAAGAAGATGGATACTAAGCAGCTGGATTTGAAGTTGGAAGAAGGGGCCAGAAGCCAAGAGAGGTAGGTGGCCTCTAGAAACTAGAAAAGGCAAGGAAACAGATTCTCCCCTAGAACCTTCAGAAAGAATGCCACCCAGTGGACCCACTTTAGCCGTCTGACCTCCAGAACTATAAGTTAATACTTTGTCCTAAGCCATGAAGTTTGTGGTAATTTGTTACAACAGCAACAGAAAAAATATTATGCATGTATTATATGGGGTTTGGATTCCATAGGAATAGAACACATTATTTAAGTTCCTGCCGGTGCTTCTTTTAGGAAATGAAAGGTCCTAAACAGGTGAGCATCTTAACAGATACCTAGGTCTCAAGGTGGGAAGTGGCTGGTTGTGTGTAATACAAGGGACCGAAGTCAGTTGTCTGCCATCGACCCAGGGCTTCAGAAAGTAAAGCTAGGTCTTGCTAACCCCTACGGTTCTCTCTCCCTTCTCTGCTTTTCTTCCACCCACTGCTTCTCACCTGCCATGTTTAGCCCACGGGCAGTTCTGGTGGTTAACCTGCCTCTTGCTAGTGCTCTGTGGTGCGGATATAAAAGTCTGCTGCTGCTGCTGCTGCTGCTGCTGCCACAGCCAAGGGATGCTCTGGTTCATGTTCCCCCCAATGCCCTTCATTCTGGATGTGCTCTACCTGGCTGATCTCCCAGCAAACCTGCCTTTGCTCCATGCCCATCCTTGAGAACTCGAAGGAAGGGCCAGAAGGCAGGACAGGGGTGCCACTCACCCTGGATGTTCTTGGGTGAGCCAGCAAGCTTGAGGGCCTCGGATAGCAGCAAGCAGAGTGGTGATGGAGAAGAGGGTCACAAGAGGGCCAGGGCCCTGCGCTTCAAGGTTTCTAAAGAGAGACGCAGACTCGCATCATGCTTATCCTGAATTTCTACTTGGAAGAGTAATAAATGATCTAAAGAACCAAGAAAGCCTGGAGAACAAAGGCATGATTTACTTGATGTGGGTGAATCTGTTTCATCTGCACCCAACTTAGTGACAAGATGGCCTCCAACACTTTAGATAAAGAGATAAATTTGTTAGCATTGTGTAAAGACGTGATATTAGGCTGAGCAGTCTCTACCATGAGCTGGTTGAAACAGGCATCAAACCCCTTCTTCCCTAAATGTCATGGTCTGGAAAGCCAGTCCCCTAGCAAAATGACATTCTATTGGTCTGACTTTTTTGTTTGTGCGTTTGGGCTGCTAACTCTGGAACTAAATAGTCTCTGCTCAGAGTGGATTTATTACATATTTTAGACTCCTTTATTTTAAGATGCTTCATTTTTTTTCCCAATTGAGCAAAGAGGAGGTTGCAAGTATTAAGACAAAATCTGGTTTTGTAAAAGGCAAAAAGTAATAGGAAGAACCTGATTTTATCATCAGAGGACCTCAGGCCTCCCAGCTCTGCATTTTCTTCCATAGACTAAGGTCAAACCATTGAACCTTCCTAAAACCCTGTTTCCTCTCAATAAACTGGGAGCTATAATTCATCGTAGTTCCAGGTTCAAGTAATAAGTGTCTTTAATTAGTAATTCCCATTACTGTATTTTTATCCTTTTTTTTTTTTGTACCAGGGATTGAACCCAGGGGTGCTTAACCACTGAGTCACATCCTCAGCCTTTTTAAATATTTTGTTTAGAGATAAGGTCTCACTGAGTTGCCAATAGGACCTCTGTAAGTTGATAAAACTGGCTTTGAACTCACCATCCTCCTGTCTCAGCCTCCTGAGCTGCTGGGATTACAGGCACGAGCCACCACACCTGCTTCATTATTTTTTTTTTAAATTTTACTCTCCCTGAATTGTTTATATGCCAAACAAGGTCATTGCCTCCAATCATTCTTGAGTTCCTGCCATGTGCTGAGCACCACAATAGGTGCAGGAGAATACAAATGTGAATACCTTTGAGAAACTTATACAGAAAAGGCACTGATAGATAGACAAAAGCTCTGCAGTGCTAAATACAGTTATAAAATACAGTTCTATAGCTCCACAGCAATAAGGAATTGATATCAACATACCTTCAGGTCATTGGGCATAAATTGATTAACTACTTGATTAATTAATTGATCTTCCCAGCTTATACCACCAAAAACTTACAAACCTATAACATTACCATGTAGTTAAGTGTGATCTTTAGAGCTGGGTGCAGTGGCTCAGGCCTGTATTCCACTTATTCGGAAGACTGAGGCAGAAGATTGCCAGCTTGTGGTCAGCCTGGGCAACTTAGACCTCGTTTCAAAATAAAAAATTTAAAATTGGATAGAATCTAGCTAAGTGGCAGAGCACTTGCCTCGTATGTATAAGGCCCTGAGATTAATTTCCAGCAACACACACACACACAAAAAGTTATTAGACATCTTCAGTTTTTCTTGAAAATTCACATCTATTCCCTGGTGAGGTGATGGAGATCAGGCTGTGTCCTGCCTGAGTTACTCCATTCTGTGTAGAAGAGCAGTTTTCAGGCTGTGTGTGTGTATGTGTAGTGTGTGTGTTGTAAGGTGCTGGGGAATCTAAACAAGGGCTCTTGTGCACACAAGGCAAGTGCTCTATCATTGAGCTACATCACAGCCCCTACCTCTATTTCTTTTGTATTTATGCATTGGGTTAGAAGTTTCAAACCAATGTGAAATAATAGAAATCATGTTGGGCGTTTTTGTCTTGCATCCATATTTTTTAAAAGGACTCAAGGGTATCTTAGCTGTCTCCATGTTCTAACCACACCTTCACTTTGGGACTCTCTTTAATCAGCAAATAACTACCTCTGTCCTCCAACTAAAAATATGCACTTTCAAATTGCATTGTGTCCAGTGACCTTGTTACCAGCTGCAATAACCTTTGGCATCCTAGAATATTTGACTCTATTGACAACTTTTCCTTTCTTCAAATTCTCTCTTCCCTGGGCTTCTGTGATTTTGTTCTTTTTCTTTCATTCATGATTTTATTCTTTCCCCTATTTGTTCACATATCCATCTGTTTCCCTTTTCTTTCTCTCTTTGCCTTTCCTTCTTCCTTTTTTTCATTCCTCCCTTTCTTTCAGCAAACATTTATTTCCTTTCTCTCTAGGCCCTTTACATGATGGCACAGATCTTTCTCAGACATGCAAATTTCCAGCTCTTGACTCCTCTGATTATTCTTTGAATATCTCTGAACATTTCACAGGAAATTCTTATTCATGTATCCACAATTAAAACTGCTCATTGTTTCTCAATTTCCCCCATTATATTGCATTACATTATTATGTGTGTCTGTGTGTATAAATATTTTAGAGTTACTGGTTTTTTTTTTTTCAATGCTAGGTTAAGAACTCTATCACTGAGCCACATCCCACACTAGATCATTTTTTTACTTATTTTATCTACATCTATGCTCACTCCTAACTCCAAACCTTGGCTCATGGCGCTCTCTCCAGCCGGGAATACCTTACCTGCTTCCTTCTATCTGTCCAAGTTTGTTCATCCCACAAGGTTGAGGTTCCTCCTCTCTCCCCACATGGCTGTCTGTGGACACCCCAGCCCACACCAGTCTCCTTCTTTTTGCATGACTGGCTCTGGCTGCTTCCTCTTGTCTGCCGTGAACTCCCCTAGGAACAGATAGAGCCTGAATACAAAGCCAAGTCTGTCTAATTCCAGAACCTGTGCTAACTACTAGGCCTTATCCAGCTCCCCCGCATCCTCTTGCTGTTTCCCATCTTTGTGCCTCCAGAGGACCCTTAGGATAGGAACCAAGTGAAGGCCTCCTGTGGTATTCACTTTCAGAACACCATTTGAAGAACCACAGTGTTTGGGGGGGAAAAAACCCACAAGGATTAGCTCCTATGTCATCGAGGGCAATGTATGACTGGATAAATTCTTCTGGCAGTAATGAAATAAGATGGAGCCAAATCTGTTGGAAAAGAATCTGTGATGCAAGAGGCAGTACATGATGAGAGACAATCCTTTGGCACCATGGCCCAAGACCTGTCAGAGCCAGCCAGGAAAAAATGCCAGTCATTATCAGAACCTGGTGTAACTGTAAAATGTGACCTAATGAAGAAGTCTAACCGATCGAGAGCTCTTCTGCATGTGTTCCTCAGAGTTCTAACTAAATGATACAACCGTACTCCAATGCCAAAGTAAAAAAGCAAATATAAAATAGCAACCACCTCATAAGTTATTTTATTTTTGTATTTATTTTTGATACTGGGATTTGAACCCAGGGCCTGGTACATACATGCTAAGTACACACTCTACCCCTAAGCTATAAGGCTTAAAGCTGTTATAAGACTTAAGTTATAAGCTATAAGCCCATATTTTAAATTATTTAGTGCACTCTATATTAGCTAACCACTGCTATAACAAAGTACCTGAGATAGTCAACTTATAAAGAGGAAAGGTTTATTTTGGCTCATGGTTTTGGAGGGTTTAGTCCATGACCTTTTGGCCTTTTAGTCCATTGACAAAGCAATAAGTCATGACAAAGCAATAAAGCATGGCAGAGGAAGCCTATTCACCTCATGGCTAGGTATAAAAGAAAAAGGAAAGAAAGAGTCTCACATTCCCCTTCAAGGACAAATGCTCCACCAGGCCCCACCTCTTAAAGGTTCAGCCGCCTCCCAACAGACCAAACCACCCTGGAGACCAAACCACCCTGGAGACCAGACCTTTAATACATGGGCCTTTGGAGGATGTTCCAGATCCAAACCAAGCAGCTGAAATATGTTTTGAAGAACTTTATTTTTTAATTAAATTTATTTTTTTTTCAATATTTTTATTGGTGATGGGATTTGTTGTTACATATTGATACAAGCACACAATATGTAATATAGCAATATGATTTGGTACTTTGGTACCCCAGTATTTTTGAAAGACTTTATTTTTATGAAAGTCACCATGGTTTGATTCTGAGAAACTTATAGTCTTTGCTATTAACACACTTTGCAACCAAGTAATAACCTATTCAGGGGCCTCAGCCTGGTTTCCATTATAGACCTCAATTAAGTAAAGCATATCAGTCTTAGAAGAAAATTCAAGACTGCAATATATATAAATATTAATAATATATAAAATATTAATTACTATTAAGATAATTTTGATTAATTATACATATAATTAAATTTTCACACTTGAAATTGTATTTTTAAAAATTCACATAAGCGGGCTGGGGTTGTGGCTCAAGCGGTAGCGCGCTCGCCTGGCATGCGTGCGACCCGGGTTCGATCCTCAGCACCACATACCAACAAAGATGTTGTGTCTGCCGAGAACTAAAAAATAAATATTAAAAAAAAAATTCTCTCTCTCTCTCTCTCTCTCCTCTCTCACTCTCTCTTAAAAAAAAAAAAAATTCACATAAGCTTGCCACAATTTTACGTTGGTCCTTTACCAAGATTGTTCTTTTTATAAAAGTGAATCTGAATGGATTTTGCCCCCTTTCCTTTGGCTGTACTTTATTAACATTTCTGCCATTTTCTAGTCTGCCTAGTAGTACATGGTTGTATATCCATTCATTAAAATAGAGATGTTTTCTACACCTTCCTACCCTTCTCAGTAAAGTGCTTACTAATACATGTAACTTGTGCCATCTATGTATTGTTTTAATAAGGGCCTAATGCTAAGATTAAGAATTGTTCC